AGGAGATCAGCGGCCTGAAGCTCAACAGATACTGCCCAACGCTCACTCGCTGCCTGTTTGCGGACGACACGGTTATCTTTGGCAAAGCTTCGACATTAGAAGCTGGGAAAATCTTGACTATCCTCAATGATTATGGGTCGATTACGGGACAGGAAGTCAACAGAGAAAAATCCTCGATCTTCTTCAGCCACAATGTCCCCTATGATGAAAAGGAGACGATTATCCAAACGGTTGGGTTTGCGGCTTCAAACTTCCACTCAAAGTACCTCGGTGTTCCCACTGAATGGGGAAGATCAAAAAAAGAAACTTTCCACTTCCTAATTCAACGTATGGAGAGTAAGGGTGATTCATGGAAGAGTCTGCTCCTCTCACCAGGAGGTAAGGAAACTTTGCTTAAAGCAGTATTTCAGGCTATCTCGTCGTTCATTATGTGCATTTTCCTCCTCCCCTGAGCCACCACCAATAAAATGGACTCCTTGCTCAAAAACTTCTTTTGGGGAGGGACTATGGCAAAAAGGACCATACACTGGATAGCAGGTCATGTGCTCTATACCCCTAAAGATGAAGGTGGATTGGGCTTCAGACCTTTTCACATCTTTAATATGGAACTTCTTGCCAAACAGGCGTGGAGGACACTCACCAATCCAGACGCCTTGTGGGTTAAGGTTCTGAAAAGCATTTACTTCCCAAGGTCTGATTTTCTCTCTGCCAAAAAGGGAAGCAAAGCTTCATGGATTTGGGCTAGTATTTGGAAAGCAAAGAAATGGATGGAGCAAGGGGTGATTAGAGTCATCGGCAATGGGAAATCGACAAGAATGTTTCAGGATCCATGGCAATTCGATCAAGCAGGCACTCTCCTGACTGGTGGGAGTCCTAACTCCTCAACAGTTGACAATTGGATCGATGAAATCTCTAGAGAATGGAAATTTGACCTGCTCGAAGAGTTCCTTGACCCTTCGGTAATTCATCAAGTGGCGGCCACCCCTATTGGACCGGCCTTCCTTGACGACGTCTAGGCTTGGAGGTTTACTGAGAAAGGGAACTTCTCGGTCCAGTCAGCTTTCCACCTTTTCCACAACCAAGTCCGAGGGGTTCAAGGGAACGTGGGCCAGTTCCCTGATTCGATCAAGGAAAGATGGAAATGGTTATGGACCCTGTCTCTCCCTCCAAAGCTGAAGTTCTTCATCTGGCGATGCTCCAAAGATCTCTTGCCTCGAAGGAAAATCTCCACGCGAGAAAGTGCTCCCCATCCAAGAGCTGCCCTCCGTGCACTTTTCAGACAGAATCCATCCACCACTGCCTTTTCTTGTGCATGCATGCAATGGAAGGATGGACTCGAGAGTGGGCATCTTTAAAAAGCCCTCCTCCCCTCACTAACATTTTGGAGTGGCTCGATTCACTGAGATCAAGTTACTCGATCATTTCAATTCAGAAGATCATCTTCCTTTTATGGCAGACTTGGAAATCCAGAAATGATCGAATCTTCAAAGACAAAACACTAGGCCTGGTAATCGGTCGGTATCGGTATAACCGGTTACTGACTTACCGGTTATCGGTATTACCGAAATGCCAAATATTATGCCGACAACCGGTACCGATTGATTGCCGGTTAACCGGCTTACCGACTTACCGGTAACGGTTACCGTTCCGGTTAGCCGAACAACCGGTTAAGGCCTCCTCTTCTCTCATCTTCGTTTCTTCCCCAACTGAGCAGAAGCAGCAGGCGAGTGGGGAAACGTCCGGCGCGCGGTGCTCTCTATCTCCCTCGCGCATGCAGTGCCAGTCATCGATTGTGGGTCTGCGGAGGTGCTGCGGCGGCGGCGAATCTCCAGATCCGGGGCCTTCTCCTTCACCTTAGAGGCCACTGAAACTCCAGCTCTGGCTACGATGGCCAGATCTGCCGTGGAGGCTCAACTGCTAGGAAGAATTTGGAGAGGGATGAGGACTTGAGCGGCGAGGACCGTGGCAAGCAGGAGAGAAGAGAAGGAAGGGAAAGAGATAGGGATGGTCAATACTCAATTGGGGTCTTCGGGGAGAAGAGATGAAAGGATTATTTGGATTCTTAGGGGAGAAGAGAAGAAAAGAATTCGCATGTAGTTGGAGAAGAAGAAGAAGAAGAAGAGAGAGAGTGATTTGTTGGGGAAGAAGAAAGAAAATGAAGTGTTCGCAGGGGGCAGGGGAAGTGAAGCGGATAGGAAGTGAAGGGTTTCGGTTATTCGGTATACCGGATGACCGGCGGTTATTTACCGGGTAGAACTCGGTATACCGAAGGTCCAAATTCTACCACCGCATACCGATACCGTCGGTTATCAGTATACCGGTAACCGCCGGTTATCGGTTTGGTAACCGGTTATACCGATAACCGGTAAACCGAATACCACCCCTACAAAACACCATGGCCTCCAGCAACTATTTCCAGAGCGCAGATTGAGCACCATCAATGGCACACATGCCCTAGGAAGAAAGGTAACTCACGCTCACAAGCTCACCCCACCCCACCCCTGGATCATCCCTCACCACCGTCACGTACTCATGACTTTGAGATACACTGTGATGGATCGTTCTTCAACGATTCCGAGGAGGCAGTATATGGCGTCGTGGTTACGAACAGCCATAGTCAAGTCTGTGATGGGAGAACTGAGTCCCTGCATTGTTTTTCCCCACTTGAAGCAGAAGCGAAGGCTTTATGGGAGGGTTCTCGTTTGGCTGTTGAGCTCTCATCTCCATGCATTATACTGACAGACTGCCTCTCCTTGGTGAAGGCTCTTCGAGGGTCGTTTAAGAGCTGGCCATGGTGGGCAGCAGCATGGCTTGGCCACATCAAGAATTTGACCGCGTCTCATCCAATGATCAAGATTGACTACATCAACAGGAAAAGGAACTCCAAAACGAACTGGGTAGCTAGATTTTGTGCTAAGAAACAGCTCCCTAATGAATGGATTCAAATCCTTGATGTTGTTGCCCCTCTCCTGTAACCCTTGGTTTTTGCCACAAGTAATGGAAAAGTGTATGCCTTTGTAATAAATAAATAAAAAGTAAACCTTTCCGCTTCTCTCTCCTCCATTTCCTTCTCCGCCTCTGCGTTCCTGCTCCCATGCTCACCCTCCTCTGGCCGCCGCGTATATTCCAACATCCATTCGTCGACCAAAATCTCATGCATCCGGCAACCGGCGACTCGATCTTTTTCCTCCTTCTCTGAAATTAAATAAAAATAAGGAAGAGAAAGTAACACAAACAATACGACATTTTTAATTTTTAAGGGCTAATAATAAGGAAAAAGAAAATGTTTTATATGTACAAAGGGAGAGAGCTGAACTGATCTCAACAGAGAAAAAGCCAACCTAACCCACTCGTACTCCTTCCTTCACTGATTTCACAGCTATCTTCTCCCTTTTCGCTTTCAATTCCTCTCTCTTAGCTTCCTTTGTGTCACCACCTCCCTCGCTCTATCTATAAAACTGGAGGCTTCGTCATGGTGGGGTTTCTTTCACTTGTAGAATGTGGAGGCGAAACCCTAGCTGGGGGGGGGGGGGAGGTCCTTTCTTATCTAGCTCTTGTTTGTTTCTCTTTCGGAGTTTGGAAGATCCAGACGGTTGTCTCGGCGGTGGATGGGGAATTGTTGAAATACGTGTTAATTAGGGGCTGATCATTGGATTAGGTTTGCGACTGTGTGCAAAGAATAACCTGTGAATGGTCTGGAATAAATAAGGAAATTAGGTTAATCATAGAAACATGGTTGGGGTCAAACTAGGGGTGAGATTAGGTCGGTAAACGATAAATTGTTTATCGAATTTACCGGTTTCGGTATACCGAAGTTGGTCAAATTGGTTACCGATTACCGATACCGGTTTGTAACCGGTTTACCGATTACCGAATTACCGGTAAACGGTTACAAACCGGTATTACCGAAATACCGTGAGAAGCGATTTCGGGCGGTTTTTCGGTCGGTTTACCGAATATTTACCGAATCAAATTTCTGGAAGTGAGGTGATATTGTAATATTTTGATTTTTTTGAGTTTTTTTCATCATTTTTGTAATTAATAATTTATTATTAACTCTTATTTACAATATTTTTGAGGCCTATACTTACATTCATGTATGTAATATTTCATATTTGTGAATAAAGATGTATATGTTATATGTTAGTGGAGTAGGGAGGGGGGATTTCGGTATCGGTATTACCGATTTACCGTCGGTATTTACCGATACCGTGTCCGGTAAACCGACTCCCCCAACTTCCCGCTCGGCTTCCGATACCGCCGGTAAACGGTTTACCGTTTACCGCCGGTTACCGGTTCGGTAAAACGGTAAACCGTTTACCGGATTACCGTTTACCACCCCTAGGTCAAACCTTGGACCGCCATAGCTTAACAGTTTCGTAGTTGAAACGTGCTCATTTGAAACTTGGGATTGAGGTTAGGCTGGTTGACTTCAGGTCGATATGGGCTTTAAGTAGTTCTATTCCCCTTTGTAGAATAGTTTCCTTCTATGGATGGCAAGTACACTCAAGACTCCAAGGATGTGGACTGAATTGGCCAAGCTGCCGATCAATGGGCAAAGAATTAACATTCCCTAGCGTGTTCCCTTAGTTATATGCTATTATAGGTATAGCTCCTATCTGTTGGTGGGATGTTTGTTGGCTACTTTGAAATGATAAAAAGCTGTTGAATTCCTTTGGATGTCGCATAGCAGAGCTATTTGCCACAAACTTGGTGGGCTTTGAGCTAGCAATACGTCAGAAGGCTTTACTAAAGCCATATATTAGTTTCGATCTACCTTGCTCTGCTTTGAACTTTCATCCAGGCATATTCTTGCTTCATATCAAATGGATCTTTGTTAGTTCTTGACAGGTCCTACTGCGATGCCACCTCCTTTTGCATGGGATCCATGGCGTTAATAACGCACCATTCAAGTGATTATGGGTTCTAATCAATTACCTGCCTAACCTGTAACTGTTGTAGGGGAGAGGTTCTCTGAAATTGTTGGCAGTCCATATTACATGGCCCCGGAGGTGCTTAAGCGGCACTATGGGCCTGAAATTGACATATGGAGTGCAGGGGTTATGCTCTACATTTTGTTGTGTGGGGTTCCTCCATTTTGGGCTGGTAAGTCTTGTTCTCTCTTCAGTTACCGTTTCTTCCGTCTTCTATCTTTGGATTGTTTATGTGCAAGCATGTGCACTGTTCCTTTGTTGCCACAAATTTCTACTCCCAATAGATCATTCTACCAAAGGGTTAGCCAGGTAAAACCCTTTTAACCACATACCAGTTTACTTTCCCTTCAGTTTAGCAAACTAGTCTTCTAATTTCAGAGTCTGAGCAAGGATTTGCGCAGGCCATCCTCCGCGGAGTCATAGATTTCAAACGGGATCCTTGGCCAAATATTTCTGACAGTGCTAAGAGTTTGGTCAAGGCAATGTTAGAGCCAGACCCAAAACTTCGGTTAATCGCAAAGCAAGTTCTTGGTGCGTTGAATATTATTTTTATGATGCCTATCTTTCTTAATCACTGCCAGTTCTGGTTGCCTTACGGTTATATATGTCTTATCTGTAGAGCATCCATGGCTGCAAAATGCCAAAAAAGCTCCAAATGTTCCGCTCGGAGATGTTGTCAAATCAAGGCTTAAACAGTTCTCTATGATGAACAGGTTCAAGAGAAAAGCCTTACGGGTTGGTCTTTAATCCGTTATTAAAATATTTATTATGAATAACGCGTTTGCATATGGATATATGACCTTCACTTCTTGTGATTAAGTGATTGCGGACTTCTTGTCCGTGGAAGAGGTTGGGGACATTAAAGAAATGTTCAAGAAGATGGACACTAACAAGGACGGTGTTGTCTCAATTGAAGAACTAAAAGTTGGTCTCCGTAACCAATCCCAGCTTGCAGAACCAGAAGTTCAATTGTTGATACAAGCTGTGAGTATACATAATCTTTATTTATCCGATTAGTGCCAAATCTGTTGGAATATGCCTTGAATTTTTTTCCATAGTGGGGAAATTAGTTCGACTTGCCATCTGTTACATCTCCTGATTTAAGAATGGAAATGCTTTGGCTGTTGAAAAGTTGGCGTGCATTAGTATACAATCTCGTTTTCCCCCGAATAGCACACTTTGTGAAAGAGTTGCATCTTTCCACAAAGAAGATTGTAGGTTTTCATATCGGGGATCTTTTGGTTTTCTTTCCCTGCTCTCACCCTAGATCAAAGGAACTAGCTCTCCGTGGACACTGAAAGTAGGTTATGCGCTGCGCATCTATACGTTTATTAAGTAGCTGAGTCTCTTTGGAAAATTGGATAAAAGGGAAAACAAGTTCCTATTAGGTTTTGAACCAAAAGTGTCGTGACCTTTTGTAGTCTGTTCCTTTGTTAAATAAAATCATCATGTTTTATGATGATAACAGGTAGATACAAATGGGAAAGGCACGTTGGACTACAACGAGTTTCTTGCAGTTTCACTGCACCTACAAAGAATGGCACACGACGAGCATCTGCGGAAGGCCTTCTCGTACTTTGACAAGGATGTGAATGATTATATCAAACCAGAGGAGCTCCAGGATGCTCTAATGGAAGATGGCGCTGTTGATTGTACAAATGTAGCAAACGACATCTTCCAAGAAGTGGATATAGACAAGGTAAGGGGCGGATTTCTGGTTTTTGGCTCTACTCCTTTGAAAATTGGCGGAGATTGGCAACAACACTTTGCTCTCCTCCAACAATCAACAATTGCATGATATTGCAGGATGGGAAAATTAGCTACGTTGAATTTGCGGCGATGATGAAAACAGGAACAGATTGGAGGAAAGCTTCTCGACATTACTCGAGAGGGAGATTCAAGAGCCTAAGCATCAAGCTGATGAAGGATGGTTCACTGAACTTGGGAAATGAGTAAGGATTGAAGAACAGAAGGAAGTCCAGCATTTGAGCAGCACATGGTCACCGGAATACACATCTTAAATAGTCTGCTTTTTTTTGGGTTATTTTTCCCCCTCTCATTTGGTGAGTATGGTCTTTTCATGATGAGGGTGGGAGGAGATGGATCCAGCCCATTGGGCCATATCGCCCTTACTTTTGGCAAATGCAAAAGATGTTAATTGTGCAGAAAGTGTGGGCGGGGTCGGTTGCTTGCAGCCATGGGTAGGGGATGTGTATGATGACGCTTCTCCTCTCCTCTCCTCTCCTTCCTTTTGCTTGTTATTTGGCTTTTGGGACAAAATTTGGTGCTTTTTGTTTCTGATTTTTAATTTGGTTATGATTTCAGGATGCCAGTCAAATTGGGTAGGTTGCAAGTGCAAGGGGAGTAGGGTTATAGTGATACATTGTTATTCTTGGCAAAGCCAAAATCGAGAGGGAGTTGAGGATACATCATGTGCTTCTCGTTTTTGTGTCGTCCACCATTGTTCTTTTGCAATTTGACCTCTCCACCACTAGTAATAGTAAGTCTCCTCTGCAAAAGAGAAAGTGGTTGGCTGTCTGGCTGGCTGGTAACCATGAAAATAACAAGTGATTTGTGTTTGTGGGTTTATTTGCCCCACTTCTGCTTCTATCTTTATTGGAAATTCTAATTGATCAATTTGATTAAATTGTCTTATTTTAGGACAATTGGGTCAAATTAACTCGTTTATCAGCATAAATTTATGCGGAACAATTTGATTTCGAGAATTTCAAATTAACTCGTTTTGAGGCAATTACAATTGTCTAAAGTGGGGCTGGAAATTTGAATTTACTCATTAAATCGAGGCAATTAGCTAAATTATATCGTGTTCCAACTAATCCCCTATCCAAGACTTTTCTGTAAGTGCGGTGGATGTTCTTCCCTTGTTATTTTTTTTTTTGTTTTTGTTTTTCGTTTTTTTTATAGGTTCCCTTGTTATTATCAAACTAGTAATGACCCACTTATTAAGTGATCACGCTGCCGAAAGGGCTTATTTGACTGATCGAATCTTCCAGCAAAATATTTCAGAAATATGACCAAAGACGCAAGATAAGTACCACATATGGCTAGACAACAAATCCTCCTTTCCAATCCTATATAGACGTTCCGCGTGGGAACCTAAGTAATTGTAAAATTGCAGCTCCCTGCGCAAACTCAAGGAAGGGCCTCTTGGTAATTGTGGAGTAGGTCTTTTTTTTCTTTTGCCGTGCAATCTCACTTTTGTACTTAACTTGCTTCCTCTTCTACCAAGGTTCGACTAAAGCAGAATATGTATGGGCTTAGCCATAATTTGTTACTTGTTCCCCTAATTTCCCTTCTAATCCAGCTAAAAGATATCCGCAAATTCAAATAATAAATCATAATGGTCTTTTAAAGCATAGTTCATTTTTAATACATAATCTAATTTCCAAAACATGAGGTTTTATCATGTGGGTTTCATGTCATTGTAAATTTAGTTTTAGTTACATGCAAAAAAAAATAATTGTTTGTAGACTAATTTCCAAGCCGACTCTAATTAAACATACGCGGTAGATCATATGCAACCAAACTACTGGTGAAAGAGCCTCTTATGGGAAGCTCTGTGAAAACTTCAACACGATAGTGAGTAAACAAAGATAAAAATGGTGATCTTCGTCTAGGGGCCCAACTCGAGAGTGAGAACGTTTTTTTATTGTTGTGTTTTAATTATTAGTAGATTAGTTAGATATCATGTGGGATTCATGCCACTATAAATTTTAGTTATGGTAACATAAAATTTTAAAATTTTAACCATTTGTAGATTTTTTGGGTGGGATTGATGAATGAAAATTCTGAAAATATTTTATTTTAAAAATATAATTATTATTTATTCATTAATGAAAAACAAATAGAATTTGGAAATAATGTTATTCTCATATATACCCAGGGTTGGGACACATTAAAAATACTATCAATTTCAAAATTGTGAAGGTTACTTTATGTAGCAAGATATAGGTATACAGCTAATGCCATTCACGCAATTGGGTAATAATTTTTACTTTTCCATTATTTTCAACTCATTTTTTTCAGAAAAAATAAACATCAAATCCACTAAACACAAAAAATTATTTTACTAAATAGTGAATCTCATTTTTTGTCAGTTGACATATTCAAAATCCCACTTATTATTGTAGAAAAAATGGCTAAGTCTAACTTGATTGTTCTATATCACAAGGAAGCTAGAGGTTTCGGAATGCATGCTCGGAAACTATTCCAAGCATGTGACAGAATGAGAGGATCTCCACCTTTTTATCTCCTACAAATTGAGGCAACGGAGTTGAAGGTCGAGATTAAGCACACCGATTACAAACATCGTGGATCCTATTAGTGAGTATGTAGTTTTGAGCATAAGGAGGGGACAATTTTACTTAGTTTGCACTAAATAATATGTTATATTTGCAAATATTTACTATTTGATTTTTTCTTTCAATAAAAGTCAAGAAAATAAGAAAGACTTTGCCAATGTTAGAGTTAGTGAACTTGATGCGGGAGAGGATCTCGGCTACGATTTCAATTAATAGAAAGATACAATTAAGGGAAATTAACCAAATTAAGGAGAAAAATAGAATACGGGAAAAGAAAGTATTAGACTAGATAGAGACTAGGAGAACTAAGAGGAATTTGAAGAAATTTTATAAAAATTTGAGGAGACGTAATACAAAATTAAGGTTTGGAGGCAATAGTGCTTGGATGGCTAAAATTTTATATATATATATATATATATATATATATATATATATATATATATATATATATGGTGGCTACTTCGGTGCACTCACTTTTTTGGGTGCACTCAGTGCACCCATCTCTAAAAGTGTCCATAATACATCAAATTTTGAACTTTAATGAGTACTCTCAATCTAATATGATGATATGCCATAGAATCATAACAAATCAATCTATTACTCTAACCCTTTAACCTTCAATTTTGAATCCCAATGCAAAATCCCAAACTGTAAACCTAAACCCTAGCCCTAAACCCCTAAATCCTAAATACTACAAATTAAAGTAAATTTTAAATGATTTTTTTTCAAATTCACGTGCTTCTTGTTCATAATATCATAAGCAACAATTGATACTGTTTTGACATGAATCGCATGCTCAGAATGATGATTATGAGGCGTGGGTGCGCCGAATACGCCACCATATATATATTCAAAAATATTGTTACCCTCAATGATAATAAGTAATCATTCATCAATCCATCCATTTGAATGATTATTTCTATCAACAATCAAGGTGAATTTGTATAGAACTTCTTCATATACTTTAAGTTCAAGGCCGATGCATTCTATTTCAAATTCACCCCACCTTTCACTTTCACATTGAACTCACTATGCTAAAAGAAAGGTTCTCACTCAGTGGCGAATCCAGAAATTTTTTGTAGGGGGTGTCCTCTTCCAAAAATTAAATTAAATTAATAGTAAAATAGTAAAATTAAATAATACATAAATAATAAAATATCCAATTAGTACAAATGTTGACAAAAAGCCACGATGTGTTTTCATTTTTTCGAAAAAAATATAAGATAGATTTGGTGGTCTACACTGCTCAACAAATCGGTATATCCTACTAGATCGCATATTCAATTTCTAACATTGTTCATGATGTAATTCAAAGTTGAAAAGACTGTTTCAACACTTGCAGTGTAACCATAAAATCAATTCAAATTAGGGGTACTCCTAGGGATATGAAATTGCGGTTTTACCATTATATATTGTTTAAAATAGAACAACAAATGAGTTATAACCTAATGGAGAAGATGTTTAATAATAAGAGTGTCATAGATTTGAATAACACAGAGTACCACTTATAGTTTTTTAATCATACGCAAATTACTATGGAGGGTAAGATAATCGTTTATTAAAATTTTAGGGGTGTCCCAGATTACCAATTATATTTTGTTTATCCATACGAAACTACTACGGGGTTGGATAATCGTGTTCCCAAGAATTAGGGGTGTCCCGGATCACCCCTAAAGCACCATGTATCCGCACTGTTCTCACTACGCAATCTGAATGGAAGCTCATGACATGTATGCCTTCTATCTCCACACATGCAGTCATCATCACAAAAATATTCATAATATAATTCTCAAACTTTAATAATTATCATTCAAATTCCAACGGGTCATCGAGGCTAGACAAAATTAAAGAGTGTTTAAAAGAAATTTTGAAATGATTTGTAAGAAGTAGTAAAATAAAGTGTAGCAAGATAAATTTTGTAGGAGTTGGCTTCTTTGCACCATTGCATAGGTGCAACTTTCATTTCCAGAAAGGATTTTTATCGATAAAACAGTTAGAATGTTGAAAAACTTTGATGATTCATGTTCCTTTGTGATATTTCAATAATTTAATCATTTGAATTTTATATGATACTAATTAAAATGTATATTACTTTGTACAATTGTGGTTGTTGTTTATATTATTAACGAAACGCATCCCTAATTAGGGGTCGCGTGTCTCTCTCTAGTGCATCTTTTCCAAAGAACATAATTAAATTAGAAGTTTAAATAATCAAGACATTATGATCTCATTTTTATAGTCTCAATTTTGTTGTTTATCTTGGCTTGTTTATTAATTAAAATTTTAGAACTTTCATTATTTCTACGAATTTTGCTAGTAGTTTAACTAATTTTATTGGTAAGTAAAATAATACTTTAATTATAATAATATAATATTGACGCTCTCAAAATATAGTTATTGGACAATACACGTTTTCTTGTTCTCGCTCCCGCTCCACGAATCGGTAAGCTAAGTTATGAGAGAGTTAAAGGTTGACTAATGATTTTTTCTTCCAAAATTTGGCTAATATATTATAGGCAAAATACACTTGTATAGCCACAAATTCGGACTTTGTCGCAACAAAAGCCAAATTTTAAAAAATACACAGATATAGCCATTCCGTCAATAACTTTAACAGAACAGTAATAAAATCTG